CAGAGAAATTTTGTTTGTCAAATATGCTACTTTTGACCCTTGTTTGGTAAATATCTCGGTCAAATATCATGATACCGAGCTGAAAATTTTATCATAGCCTCTCCACTAAAGTCTCAACATATTCTGAAAATTTCAGTCAATTTGGATCTCCCTAGATTGAGATCGACTTTCGAGGAGCCTTAAAGGCTGTTAAATCAGATGAAAAATATACGTTCAAAAGAAAATATGTTCAATAATCCTATTTATTTGTTACTTAAGGTGTGTTTCTTGATCGTGTACAATTCTATTTATTTGTTGATTAATTGTTTTTCTTGATTCTATACAAAAAAGAGCAAAACTTTTATGTGAAAATTCTTAATTAGTACACTGGAACAGAGTTTAAAAATAGCTTTACATGACACACATACATTCTGCTTTTTTTCTGTTTTTCGATGACAAAATTTCTGTCATTTTCTGCTTTTTATAAATTATTTTCTGTTTTTCAGACTTCAGAAGGTGGCAGCACTCCTCTTGATATCAAATGCTATGGAACTTTGAAAAATTAATCACGTATAACGAAGTTTTTGCTCTACGCTACGTTGTTTAATAACTAATTATTCACTCGAAGATTGAATTATGAAAATAGAAAAGAGAAAGAATGTTGGTTGGATCGATCTATTACGTATTATTGCCTGTTTCTTAGTTATTTTTTCTCATTGTTGTGACCCTTTCATAGCTCAATTCGATAAGGATCGAGAAAGTTTCCTAACTGGAGTATTTATAGGTAGTCTGGCCAGACCTTGTGTTCCTTTATTTGTAATGATAACAGGCGTTTTGTTATTTCCTGTACGTGTCAGCATGGAAGACTTCTACAAAAAGCGTATTGGACGTATCATTATTCCGTTTATATTTTGGTCAATAGCCTTACCTATCTTGTATTTCATTTATTTGAATTATATCGCTTCTACTCATAATCCATTGATTGTGCGAAGTAACTACAAATTCAACGTCACACAGAAGAAAATATATACATTCATTTTCAATTTTAATTTTGACACAGCAGCATTGTGGTATCTTTATATGCTAATCGGACTTTATTTTATTATACCTATTCTTAGTGTTTGGTTAAAACAAGCATCTCAACAGGACTTAAAGCTTTTTTTGTCTATGTGGGGAATCTCTTTAGTACTTCCATATATAAAAATGGTTGCTCCTATGTTGGGTTATGTCGGAAATTTCGGAAACATGGGAATACTTGGTATTTGTGACTGGAATGATTACGGTACTTTTTACTATGTATCTGGATTCATCGGTTATTTGGTGTTAGCCTATTATTTGATGAAATACACGCTTACTTGGAACTGGAAAAAGACATTAAACATTACTATCCCTATGTTTTTGATTGGCTATTTCATAACATCTTACGGTTATATCCTGACTCAAAAATATTTTCCGGGCAATTATGCATACCTTGAAATAGTGTGGTACTTTGCGGGAATTAATGTTTTTATGATGACTTTCCCCATATTTGTTATTGTACAAAAAACTAAAATTGCTTTTTCTGCCGGATTATCTCGTTTGGCTTCATTAACATTCGGTATCTATTTATGCCACTACATCTTTGTACAAATGGCCTATGACTTTTTTGACGCCATATACCCACTTCCTGCTCTAATACACATTATCTGTATGGCATGTTCTGCTTTCTTTATCAGCTATTTGACAGTCCGAATAATGGAACATTTTAAATTAACACGTCGTTTCGTTATGTAAATTAACTATAAAAACCTATGGAGTGTAAATTTGAAGGAACAATACATTTTCACGGAAACAATTAGTACCTTTTATCGACAGCACAAAGATTACTAATGTAAAGAAAACAAACACTCTTTTTCTTTTCGCTCTGATAGGTTGTGTCAGGTTCAGTTTGATTTTTGTATTATATATGTAAACTAGTGACTTAGCAAGTGAGGCAGGGGAAGTCACCGGTCTCCCATAGGAAATAAGGAAAATTTCCATCCAGTGGGCGACAAAAAATTATACGTTTTTCACCAGTGAGAAGTTTCGTCTCCTGTTATAGGCACATTCCCTTTAGGAATCCTGACTACGTCGCTGATCAAAACCAAATTGAACTAAACCTATGTTTATATTTTCGTCAACAGGAAGAAAAGTGCTGGCGAAAAGAAAATAATCCTTTTCTTTTCCTACGTACAATAAAAGTTATATCCAACTAATCTAAATTTTGTTCATTACAGAGGGATTGGTGTATCTTTGCCGCAAGAAAGCCCACTATAAAGTGAATAAACTACGTTTTTTTGTTACTATTTTGTTACATCCACTTACAGTTATAAGTGGGCTTTCTGGTTGTATATTAGTTGATTGTGACTGATGTAATGTGTTTTGTTGCAGAATATTATTAACTCTCCTGGCAGCTCTGGAAAAAACGGAAAAGAGAACAACAGGTTGCTGTAAAATATTAAGATTCGCTTAAAAACAGAGTATTTTGATTGTGCTTCAGAAGGAATCCATATCTTTTCTTCGATTAGAATTTTCGTGAAAACGACAAATGAACAGAAGTAAGAAGAAAATTGTTTTTTGGGATAATGTTACTGTTACTCATTGGGAGTGGAGTGGTATATAGACTACGCTGGAAAGCCTGGTTTCGTAACTCGGCAGAAATGCCTTTGACGTTGATTTCTGATCTGCAGCGTGTATTTCTGACATTCGCAAATGAGGATTAACTTTCTCGTAATATTAGTTGTGTGACTGGTAATGTATCTAAAAAAGAACGATTGGAATACATTCAGACGGGTAGTCATGATACGCTTTCCGTAGTTGGATACCAGTAAAATTCTAGAAGTGAAAGCAGAGAAAGGGAAACATTACACTTCTGGGCCGAAACATGCCTTAAAAATACAATTATTCAACTGCTAGATGAATATTTTCTTCATATGCATTCGTCATATCACTATGAGAATTTTCTCCACACTTCTCCCATCGTCATCCCCTCTCGTGTCAAAAAATCGAATATCGATATGAAATAGGATGATCAAACAAATGTAAATCTTTTCAATAACTGCTTATAGATGTAATAGAACACGGAACTACAGTTGCAGGTCAGTTTCGTCTCGGGCGTTTTTTATCAGGTGATTTTTTTGACTTTCGAAGTTGATAAATTTTTATCAAATTATCGATGACACTAATGAACAAAGCGAGTCCAGTGCCTAGCCAAAAAAATACAGTAAACAGATTCGTCGTCAATTGTTGTCGATTATCGACAAATAGGCGATAAATCTCCCGCATTGAATCAGAGTTAAAGACGGCTAATGGAGGACATTCTGTCACTGTTGTTGCATTCATCTTGTACAAAACTATAGTCAAAGACTGGTTTAATCGCAAAAGTTCGAATCATATTTTTCAAAACCGAACCTAGTTTGTCACTGTATATCTCATCATAAATAGGTAAGTGAACCGCTTCGAAACTGCACATCAAATTGTGTTACGTAAGCATATGTTCAGTATAGCAGACTGAAAACTCTCCAAATATGTTTCAAATCATTCGTTATGCCATTGTATAACAATACTAGCACAGAGAGTGAGAGGATCTAGGTATTGCATCGAAAGCTTTGTATTGTTTTAGAAAGAATAATCCTTAGATGATTAAAATTTTTGAGTTCATATTTTATTAAGTTTTAATAGACACATGTAATATTAAGCAAAGTCTTTCCTATGGGACAGAAGTGGGATAACGAATTTTAATATAGAAAAAGCCCAAAACTTCAGAATTTTGGAATATGGTCCGTTTTAGGTGTGAACTTGAGAATGTAGGTGTGGATATGGTTGGAGTCAAAATAAAGATTCGCACCCACACTCATACCCACACCCTATTCAAGTTTAAAGGTTCTTTTGATTTAGAACAACATCCGAATTGTGTATTCAATGATTCAGTTATGGACGAGTTACATCAGCAATATGAAAATATAGATTCATTTTGTGAATTATTATTGAATGATATAACTACTTTGTCATTTAGCAAATGGATATTATCATCACCTATTTATTCGAGTGTGGGTGTGAGAGCCAATGAGAATGAAGACATACCCACATCCTCGTCACTTCTCATTGCATCTGTTGTCAATACTACTGCAGGTTATTTTATCGAGATAAATACAAATATATCTCTAATAGTCGATTCAACTGTATGCTTTTCAATCACAAAGAATATTAACAGTCTCTTATAAGTTATTCAGAAGGCATAGTCAAGTCTTACTGTATTCTTAATCGTAATGAATTGTTTTGATGAAAATAAATAATTTTAAAATGCAGCTTATTACTTATTATGTGGAACATATAAGAATAAATGGTTATACATCAGAAAACTTCTGAGCATCTATGCAGTTGTTTTATTGTCACACAGCTGTAATTAACCTATGAAATATAAATACGTGAATGTGTATCTCATTTTGATATTTATTGAATAGTCATTCACTAAGAATATTAGAATAGTAAAAATTTAGTGTATGTCATAACTATTCTTTTCATAAAATCAATTTCAATCATAAGCAAAGTATAGATAAAATATAGCACTCTAGCTTTAGCATGAAATTTAAATTTGAAGTTGAAGGAACAAAGCTTTTCTTTTTGTTTTTCATTTTCGATTATTTAAAATTATTTAATCTAATGAAAAGCCAGAATGGCCAAGCGAAATAAAGTTTAAAACTTTTATAGAATAAAAATATCAGCTTTAAAATTTATTTTCTTTAATTTCATTAATTTAGTTTACAAATAAGTTCTGCAGAGTTAAAATGGAACTAGAATGCGAGGTGTATGGGTCTTTAAGTACCAATGAGCCGAATATCTAACAAAACGCTGGATTATTGTGATATGATGTCTATCCTTATTTCCCTTTTTTGACTTGGTGCATACAATAATAATTCATGTATCAGAAAAACTGGTAACGTTCAAATATGAGTGGCATGCATATACTATAAGGAAATGAAAGTGATTGAGAAATGATTTGTTTAACAATGTATGAATTTTTGTACTCGATGATTATATGTATCTGCCACGTACAAATTGAGTTGAGCATCAAGTATTATTGAATAAGGATTATAAAGTAATTTTGCACTATCTCCACTTGAATTCGTTACACCAGCAATTGTTATTCCAGTGGACTGACCAGCCAAGAAAAATTGGATCCGATGATTGTTTCTATCGGCTACGTATATGTTGCCCATGGAATCCATTGTCACACCTACTGGATAGTTGAGTAATGTTGTATTACTACCCTTCGTTCCGTTCATGCTACCGGCAATAAGTGTCCAACTACTGGCACCCAATACCCAACGAACGATATTATTAGCACCGGTATTCGCAATAATGAGGCTGTTCGATGATGCATCGAAGTAGACGCCCACTGGATACTTAAGCTGTGTGTTAGCTGTTCCTAGACCATTGCCTCCAGCTGCTACAGTTCCTGATGATGCGCCTGCTATATAGCTCATCACTCGATGGTTGCTTTGATCTGCTATATACAGTGTGCCCGAACTTGGATCCCGTGCAATACCGAACGGATTCATTAGTTCATTGTTTCCTGAGCCAGAAGAACCTATAATAAACGCGCATGCCAGTAAAACAAAAAAAATAAGCATGAAGTTCATGACAAAAAAATATATTTCATCACCAACTACTATGAAAAAGATTTCGAATCTAATATATATATATAAGATTCTTGTCGCATTTTCATGACTTTGAAATTATGATTCGAAAGAAAAAAAATAGAAATAAAAATTTGATAATGATTTTGAAACAACCTGGTAAAAAGTGATCAATAGAATTTCTTATTTGAAATCAAATAAGTTTAGATAAGTAAAAGCGATATACGAAAGTTTTTAGTTTCAATTACCACAACATTGCGAAACAGTTTTCATCCTATGTATATTTTTGTTTGATCATGTTTCTTTTTCTACCTGTGATGCCAGCAACTGTCGTGCCATTAGATGCACCCTGAACCCAGTACTGAACTCGAAAATTGCCAGTATCAGCCACATAGATGTTGCCACTTGAATCGAGTAAAATGCCACTAGGAATATATAAACTACTTGAATCTATTCCCTGCATTCCACTTGCTTCACCTGCCACTGTGGTACCATTTGACGCGCCGGCTAACCATTTCTGAACTCTATTATTATTCTGATCGGAAATATAGAGTGTATTTGATGAATCCAATGCGATGGCGAAAGGACGATCAAATTGGTTGGCAGCTGTACCTGCTGAACTAGTTATGCCTGCCACAGTTATAGCTGTTGAATTCCAACAAAATAGAGAGGTGGTAGCTGCAAAACCAATAGAGACAATATGGTGCTACTGTCTGGTCTTTTATTGTAGAAAAATAATTATAATCTTATCCAATTACTAGTGACACAAGCCTTTTCAAATTCTGACAAATTATACTATTTTAAAATTCTGATTGTTTATAAAGTGAAACTCAGAGCAACGTTATATCAATCGGATAATATTGTGAGTGTAGAGTAAAATCATTTTTAAAGCATTCTATTCCATGATCTTAAACATTTTAGCAATAGTTCTGAAATTGCAATGACATTTGTCGATTACAAACCACCCTATAATACGAGGATACAATTTTGTTTGCTTATGAAAAATGATACTCGTAATATCAGATATATGGATATACAAACAACATTCGTATCTTGTTTAAAATAGGGTATCCTCTTCATGAAAGGTCAAGGATTTGTCCACTAGTTACAATAACATTTCTGTTCTGCAAGCAAAACCTGCGCAAATGCTTTGTTTTGTACGTTTTCTCTAGGGTATTGGTTTATCTGACACAGCAATTCTACATTCTACAACAAAAACAACTTGTGTCGACTGTAGTCCTACGTCTAAAGATCGTCTCCTAAAGATAATTTTCATTTTGAAGTGAAAACGTATGTGACAGATAATATTATACTAAAACTAACTATTTGTAGTCTATCCCTGTAATAAACGTTGCAATAATAATCTTCCTTAAATCATAACGAAAATTTTATTTGTTCAATTAAGCAGAAGAAAAGTTTTCTACTGAAAGTTTGAATGGACAAACAGGTTTTTTATCACTGACTAGCTGCACATGTACCTCACATGTATTTTGCACCGCTTCATACTTAATTTAAGATCATATTGAATACATCGAAAACTCACTTGTTGTGCTTGTAGTTGATGTGGTACTGGAACTGACTGTTGAAGAGGTAGTACTAGCAGTTGATGTCGTAGTCGTAGTACTTGTTACCGAAGTAATAGTAGTAGTCGTGGTCGTCGACACAAGACTACTTATTGTCGAATTCATGGTAGTATTCATTGCCCCAGTAATCATCATACTGCTGCTTATCATGCTACTCGATGATGTATTTGATACGACGTCCCCTACAAGAATTCATTCAATGATATATTTACGGCTTTATTACAGATTATATAACTTTCAATCAAATCCTTGTGGAATTCAAATCTGCAACACTATTGACTTTTGGGTATGGGTGTGGGCGGGCAGATTGGCATATAAAAAGAAACCAACAATCCTAAGCATCCACTCACTTCACAAATCGTTGCAGTCTACTCTTCGAGTATGTACGATGCTGTTTATGTGTACTGTTGTCACGCTTCTCTATATCTATCTGTACATATTACATATGCTTTATTGGCAATGTTATGTGATTGAAGTGAAATATCTCAGCAAAATAATGGTCGAATTGTATGAATAACTTTTTAGTTCTGATTGAAATATGTTTATTTTGTACAAACAAAAGAAAATCAAATTTGGCATAAAAATTAATTTCTATTTTTATTTCTATATTGTTTAGTTTTGTTTGAATTAAAAGATCTTTAGAGAAGAAGCAATATAGTTTTTTTGCTACTAAAGCATATTGTATATATACTGTTATGCTGATCACTATTAAGACTATGATAATTCACATTCGTTGTCAACATAACAATAAAGAAGAAAAGAAAGTTAGAAAACAGTAACAAAAAAATAAATAAAGACATGTACCTCGTTTAACAAGAAGTATGATGGCTACCATAGCAGTTAATAAGAGAATCAGCATTACCACTCCGATAAAAATGAAGTAATATCGATGGCATCGATTCCTGCAATGCAAAATGAAATAGTACAATTTTTATCCATCAATGAAATGTTGCAATGAGATAAAAAGAAAAAGCACAAATTTTGAAGATTTTGTGAAACTAATTTAGTTTGTTATTAAATCAGAATATCAGGAATTTAATTTACAAAAATAGCCTCAAACAGTTGAGCATTCTGAATTGGAATCTCGAGGAAATCAGAATTTTTCAGTTGATTGTCATTCATAGTATAATATGAACTTAATGTGTATCAGCTCACACGATGAATCAGTCCTGATATATTGATGATGATATTTATCGATCTTCACAACGACAAATCAATGACACTAGCAATCAAATGAAATTTGACGAGCTAATTTAATCACCCAAATGTTTGTTTCATTGATAGCCCATGTGAGCTATACTTGTGAGATATCATATCGTTAGTCTTCCAGGAAGAAGATATTACTTAGGCTGATTGAATCCAAATTTTATTTTAATCTTATCAGAACAGTTCAATTGAGTTTAAATTCAAGTTCTGAAAGACTTCTCCAATATTATTTCAATTCAAATTGCTTGGCAACTATGCTTTTCAGCGCTTTCCATAAAAATTTAACCAAAGACTGATCATAGGTGGTCAGCCAAAATCCAAGAGTTGATTTCGATTTAATGCAATATTTTGAAATTAATTATTCGTAATTTCAAATATTTTTCGTACAATTCATCATGTGATAGGTTTGGCATCTCACTACACATGTATTTCAGAAAACAGAGGTATGCGTGCTGCGACACTCATATGAAGTGCGTTACATATCAAATATTTTGTTCGAAAATTTAGAAGCATTTAAAAATCGGCAACTGGCTTTAGATTCGATTTCTTTAACTTTGATTACTTCTTAGTCAAGTTTTGTTAAAAATATTTCAATTATGCATAGATCCTAAGAAAATGTAAATAAAATCGAACTCTGATAACGAATTTGACTTTGACATCAGTAGAAGTGCCAATATACTATTTCAAATGGTATTGAATTTGAGATAGCTACTGTGACTTTGAATCCAAAATCGATTACACAGTAAAAACATATTTGAAATTAGTTTTTCTGAACAAGCACGAATTTCATTATGCGATCTATATAATACATATCAGGCCTCGAAATGGCCCGACCCGGTCTGAACTTCATTTCTTTTTTACAAGGAAGATTTTTCACACGGGAAAAAAAGAAAAACTGACTCTAATCGACTTCCTTCTGGCTAAAAATCGATTAAAATGGGACTATATTCATGTGATCAAAATTAGAATATTTAATTATTAACTGATTTACATGGCGATGGTCGTAAAACGGATTTGTCTCGAGTTTTAAGTTAGAAACTTAAACTTTTGGTCACTTTTTCGAACTCCTCATCTCAGCAAATCGGAAGTATCACACTAGGTTAGACTTTAATACACATACAAGGCGTTGAGATAGGATATCAAGTAATATTGAATCATATAAGAAAAAATTGCGATAAATTAGATTAGAATCGATTATTTTTATGGGCAAGTACCAATTAAAATGATACTATTTGAATCTGATCGAAATCTGACTTGCCAGCACTAAAGATAGATTTCATTTGATTTTAATCTATCTTAATCAGTTTCTCAAAACAAATTTTAATTGATAAGACTTTATTAATCGATTAAAAGGACTAAAATTAATTGAAATCTATTTTTAAAGTTGAGAAATCGAATTTCAGTGAGAATTAAATAGCATCATTTTAATCAATTTTTAATAGAAAAATAATTGATACAATTCTGATTTTTTGTCAAAATTTTCTACACGGGCTGTATATCTTGCAACTGTTAACAATCAGGAAGTTTTATTATGTGAAGGCTTTGGAAATTTCATTTAGGCAATAAATGAAAACAAGGCATTTATTCATCTCGATGGCGCTCCTCATCTACATACAAAGTTGAGTGAACTATCGACTGCATTAAGCCATATGAACATTACTGAAGTGGAAAATTGTTAACTGTATACTAAAATTAACAAGGTGACTAGAAACAGTAACTGATGTGACTCTTTGAAATTGATCAGTGAGCATTTTACTTGTGCAAGGTTCTTATTAATAAGTGACAGTATGCCAGAAGTTGAAGTACCAACGAACGCATTTTACTCTTTCAGTTTAATGGGCAATGCGACTTATTGCCTAGACTTTTTTTTCAAGTTTTAAAATTGTCTAACCTTATTACGTAGGATACACTAGGTTAAGATTCGCGTATTTCCTTATACGATTCGCCTATAGGTTAGACCAATCTAAGACCAAGATGCATCTCGAAGAGCTCTATCGATTGTACTTGATGCACTCTATCCAATGGATACCTTTTGAGCACGATTTGATGCAAAGATTT